TGACTTACATGTATGAGAAGATGACTGGAAGATTGGATCAAGCTGAAACATCTTGTAAGAGACTCTGTAATACTCCTTTTTGTACATTACAAAGCACACATGACACAAACGTTTTGATTGGATGGCGAAATTCCACCACAGTTATCGTTCCTGGAAAGCCAGAAGTGAGGGGGGAATGTAATTTGAAAGAGCAAGGTGTTGTTGGCGAGTTGTTCCTGTCAAAGCGTGGTTTCAGAAAATTGTGGACAATCAAAGGACAAAATCCCCGAAATGTGTGCCACGGATCTGAGAGGGTGTCATTGGGAAGCAACTGTCGAGGAGGGCCACCGTGTCAAAGAAGACAATCTTCGAAACAAGAAGTCTCTTAAAGAGACAGAGGCCAATTTCAAGGTGTTTACATAGGCTATGATGCAAAGTCAAATTTATTTTTGATATATACAGTGTTTTTATAACAACTGAAGGTAACATAGTTACTTGATTGTGGTATAAAATTTAACTATGTGCCTGGAAAATAAAATCTTATCTAATCCTCTTTAAGGAAAAGGCTTTACTTTTGAAAGTTAACTAAAACTTTTAGGTCAGGATTAAAAATTAAAATTTGTATGTGCATCAACTATAATTCAATTTTTACAAGATAAAATTCAACATGAGCCCCCTCAGGTATCTTTATCTCATGACCTGACAGTATTACAGAAAGAAATCCAAGTTTTTCAAGCTCAAAGTCAACCTAGGGCTGATTTTTTGCAATTCACTAGATGAGGTTAAACACACACACAAACACACAGTTTGTGATTGTACAACCAGTGTCTTCACCACCATATTACACATCTATAGGTTCTGTCTGAGCTGCATCCCCAGCCATTCAGAGCAGGGTCAGGGAATTTGATTGACTTGCGCCTTGACTCACTTTGGCTTCTAGGAAGTCTCCCCCATCAATACGTATCATCATCACTCGGCAGCCCAGCGTGTGAGCGTGCATTTGCGTGTGCTCTCTCAGCACAGCGTGTCTTTCTGTTAAATCAGACGGTTCAGCTTTTCCCTCCTGCATGCCTGCTGCTTGGCCTATTTCCATGGTAACTAGCCAAAGATGTGGGGACACGGAATGAACACACATACGCGCGCGTCCGAACAATCCACATGAACGGCGGCCGTTCAAGAGCTTGCCACAGCTTGGCCGTGTGCATCTGTGGGGTGCAGTCAAAGAGAGGATGTGTGATCACACACTCTGCCTGAGCTGAGCGGGAGACACACTCACACACACTCACGCATACGCACACTGTATGCTGAAACAGAAGCTTGGGAAACTGTGCTGTAGGGGAAAAATGGCACGTAGAGGCCACGCCAGCCAAATCCCTCAGTAAATCCTCTGACAACTTAGGATAGATGGATGGATAAAAGGATAGATGGGTGGGTAGCTAGATGGGTAGATAGATCGATAGATGGGTAGATGGGTGGGTAGATAGATCGATAGATGGGTATATGGGTGGGTAGATAGATCGATAGATGGGTAGATGGGTGGGTAGATAGATCGATAGATGGGTATATGGGTGGGTAGATAGATCGATAGATGGGTA